AAGTTTCACAATGCAGTTGAAAGCCTCATTATTCATAGTCCATTGGCTGGCGTACCGCGAGAACACTGGGGCCGTGGGCCTCGAGGCTTGGCCTCGAATTCCATGCCGAATACGTAGCGTTGCGAGGCCGAGGACGCCCGCACCGGTCGAGGCAAAGGAGTATGCGCGGGCACTGGCACCTCGCAGTCGAAAGGCCCTAAGGCGCGTGCTCCGGCACTGGGCGCGCGACAACCTGACACCCCGCCGAAAATGGATTTGATTCGCCCCTCTGACTTTTAAAGTGCCGTTTTCTTTCGACGGATTTGCCTGGAGACTCGCCCGAAGGCTCGGTGTCCTCTTCTTCTACGGAAACCTCCGGAGCCCCTGGTCACGTCACACCCAGCTCGTCCGCGCCGCGTCAGCCCACCCCCGGCGCCGCGACGCCCGGCGCGTAGGGTTGGAACGTAGGGTCGGCGCTCCGAGGGGTCAAAGCGCGCCTCCGACGTCGGATGCGAGACGCGCCTCCGACGTCGGATGCGGGCGAGACCAAAACTGTCGGGACGTCAAGGACTTGCAAGATTGTATGCAATCCCAGTTCAGCTCCTCAAACTCACGGGGATGAGAAACCACTTGATCCAAGAGGCAGCCGAGACTGAACATCAAGGAGCGGCTGTTGACATGAAAATAAGACACCAACTTCACTGACGTATGCCCTGACAAAAGGGATTTCCGGTCCCAGTGTCAGGAGCCAGTTCTGAAAATATATATAAACACATCCTTTTTTTAGCCAGGTCTGGTCACAAACCCGGATCAAACTCACGGGGGGGGGGTGGGGTAAAAAAACACTTAATCCAAGGTAGCAGTCGAGACTGCGCATCCAGAGGAGCGGCTGTGGGGGTGGCTTACGCGACGCGTGTCGTGGAAGAGCAGGGCGTGGGGGGCGGCTTACACGGCGCGTGTCGTTGAAGAGCAGGTCGTGGTCGAGCAGAGGCAGACAAAAGGCAGACAAAGAGGCACAGAGATCGAACGGTTTCCAAGGGCAAAGGACGCCGTGCTCCGAGTAAGCGCACCTAGGCGCGGCGTAGAGACGACGAGCACGGTCCTATAGACGGGCGCGATCTGCGTCTCTCGGGCGTCTCTCGGGCGTTCCTCGAGCTCCCTGTCTCCTCCTGAAAGCAAAATGTGTTCCAAGTGGGGGGGGAAAGCTTACGCGACGCGTGTCGTGGACGAGCAGGGCGCGGACGAGCAGAGTCAGATAAGGAGCCACAGAGACCGAACGGTTTCCAAGGGCAAAGGACGCCGCGCTCCGAGTAAGCGCACCTAGGTGTGGCGTGGAGACGACGAGCACGGTCCTATAGACGGGCGCGCTCTGCGTCTCTCGAGGACGGGCGCGCGGCGTCTCTCGAGCGTCTCTCAAGCTCCCTGTCTCCTCCCGAAAGTAAAATTTGTTCTGAGATGGGAATTCAAAAGATTTAAATCAGTCCCTATATTCACAACCGCTGATTGAGCCCAGAGGCGGAGCCCAGAGGCGGAGCTGGTTGGGTAGAACGCCCAGCCGCGCGACGACCGAGAGCCGGAAACAGCGACCGTAAAAAGGGGGGGGTGTTTCTCAACGCCCTACGCTGGTGATTTGGAATGCCCAGGTCATACAGCGAGGCGGTGGGACCACCACGCTGCCCGTCGCAGAGAATGCGGGCGCAGAGCCGGGCTTCCACAAAGTCCCGATGCTCAAGGCGCCTCGCCTCGAACGGGGTAAAAAAACAGAATCTTGCAATCGCGGCTATTTCGACGGCGTGGCGTACACCGCCCGACACCCGCGTCCCGGCGCGCATCCCCGTAGCCGCGCCGGCGCGAAAGCCCATTACGCAGAATGAATTCGCAAGTCGAGAAAAGTTGAAGTTGCCACCGATGTTGAAAACCTCGCCAGACAAGGATTTGCCTCGGACCTCGGAGGTTTTGGAGATGCCGTCTTCTCTGGACATTTCCAAATTCCCAGCACGATAGCCCCGATGGGCGTATGTAAGGAGGGTGCACGAAACAAATGCAACGAAATAACAGCGTCCCCTGGCTCCCTTTTATCACATGCGACGGCTTTGGAAATAGGGGGAAGCAGGCCCTTCCGTCGCCCATGGCAATAGACACGCTCGGAGAGCTGGGTTCTAGACAGAGTTTACCTTCGCTGGGCTAAAGGGGGGCAGAGTTCGCGACTTTAGGACCGTTATTTCCTTTGGCGCTGGCGGGAGCTACGGGCGCCCGGCCGGGGCGCCACTGCGCGCGCTCATGGGCCACCCCGAGCTCGGCGCGGCGCAGCAAAAATCAAGGTGCGCGCGCCCCGGAGTCGCAAGAGACTCTCTGGGGGAGTCTGCGTCTTTTTTAGCTCCTCGGAGCCCGGCTGCTGTGCCACCGATGCCGGCCCTGATTGGCATTAACCGAGTCCACCCGCGTCCTGGCCATTATCGTCTCTCAGGACCGGCATCGGAGGGGTCCCGTGTCGCGCTAAAAGCGGCGGACGTACAACAAAACACACACACACACACAAAACGGAGAACCCCCTAAGCCGAGGCTGTCGAACAAAAATTAAATCCATTTCATTGAGCACCCCGAGCTTAACGAATTCCCTGGAGCTTTAAATTTAGCCTAGTGCTTTTCTCGATCTTTGACAACTTAAAATTTTAATAATAATAATAACAAGAAATTAGAGGGTGGACCTGCCTGAACAGACCGCGGGGTCTACCATCCAGTCCAGAAGGACCTGTAGCTAAGCTCCTCGGGCAGCTTTATAGTCACAGACTGGGCCGCTCGAAAGAGGAGGTTGCGGACTCTACAGATCCGTCGCCCGTGACCATATTGGCAAATAAGGCCGGTCTCAAGTGGTGCAAAGTTTGGCTTTCATAGGCTATGTAAAGAAGGGGCGTGGTCGCTATGCCCCCCTTGTCCCTCGGGGTGTCCGTTGATGATCAGCCTCGAGGAGGGCACCTTGCAAGGGCGTGAACAAGCGCCCCCCTCAATAGTGTGGACTTTATAAAATCTTTGGACGCCTCCTTAACTACATGTAAGTCTTGATGATGACTTGATTTTGCCGTCTTATCGTAATATTTTACGACCATGTGCCAACTACAGGATCGGAAGCACGGAAATTGTGCTTTATGTGACAGGGTGGGTCAATACGTACCCGCGTGGCATATGGCCTGTACCGTACGCGCGCCACTAGAAAGGAGGTCGCGGTCGGCGGTCCGTCGTCGACATTCTCTCGAGCGCGGCCCTGGAAGCGTCCATCGAGGCGTTGCCAGAAGAAGGCGCGTTGCTGCCACTTAAGCGTTCGCCGGCGGTGGCGGCTCTGCAGTGTGCAATCTCGATGGGCGTGCTGCGCGAGGACCACATTGCCGAGCGTGCACCGGCTGTGCCTGTAGCTGTTCAAGGTAGAACGATCCGCTTCGCCGGACACCTTCGGTGTCCTCACCAAAGTCAATCCTCAAGCTTTTGCCACCATACGATAGGAGGGACCTCGGCTCGTCGCGCTTCCGCCAAAGCTCCTCATAGGGGCGTCTTGTGTCCGACCCGAAAAAAACCTCGCCGGCCTCTGCGCTCGGCGCGGGGGCAACGCGGAGATGGCCCCCCAAAAAAGTTTGCCGCGAAGCTCGCGCCGCCAAATGGCACCGCGGGCAAAAAGAAGTTGGCCGACCAATACGAACCCGAAATCTCATGATTCGCAGTCAAGCTCCGTGTCCATTCGGCCACGCTCGCTTATGAGCTGCTTGTTATTGACAGAGGTGTGTATGAGTATTAATAACCCGGTAAGAGGGGAAAAGTGGTTTTGATGGGTATTACTGGAAATTCTGCCCGAATGAAAAAGACGCAGAAACCTCGAGAAAATCTTGTTTCCTCTTTTCCAGGAGCGGACTTATTTCGTAAACGAACCTCTGTCGGTAGTCGCGGTCGTCGCGGGTAAGGGGGGATCGTCCTTAAAACAAAAAGTAAGAAGGCTGCGCCCATCGTGCCAGATACCGCGAGTCTCCACGCGCGGGCTTCCCGGGTGTTCAGCGGCATTGAATTGGCGCCTCGGGTGACAACTGCCACATTCCCCCGGAGCCGCGTCACCGCGGAAAAGCCCTGGCTCATCCATCACCCATGCATACGTCAGTGACAGATGGTGTCATATTTTCATGTCAACAGCCGCCCCTCGATGTGCAGTCTCGGCTGCTTTCTTGGATCAGGTGTTTTTTCACCCATGCATGGACTCTGTGAAAATGGCAAAAAAGTGCTTTCCGACATAAAAAAAAAGGTCTCACCGAGATTCGAACTCAGGCTGGTGGAATCAGAACCCACAGTCCTAACCAACTAGACTATGAGACCACAAGAGTGGAGTACCTGGATTGAACAGGTGACCATTCGAACTGCAATCGAACGCTCTACCACTGAGCTAACCCCACAATAGCTCCGCCACGGGATCGAACCGTGGACCTTCTCCTTACTAGGGAGGTGCTCTACCACTGAGCTAGCGGAGCACGAGTCTCAAATCTACTTGAGAGTGCTCAGTAATCACGGCAATTTGGTCAAATAATGGAGGCATCAAGAATCGAACTCGAGACCTCGCGCATGCTAAGCGCGCGCTCTACCAACTGAGCTATGCCCCCGACAGTGTCGTGGTTTGTCCACTGAAGACTTTTGATGGAGGATGCAAGAATCGAACTCGCGACCTATCGCATGCGAAGCGATCGCTCTACCCCTGAGCTAATCCCCCATATCGGGGAATACCCGGTATTAACACCCAACGGGGGGCTCGAACCCCCGACCACACGATTAAGAGTCGTGCGCTCTACCGACTGAGCTAGCTAGGCCAATGATATATCGTATGATGGAGGATGCAAGAATCGAACTCGCGACCTATCGCATGCGAAGCGATCGCTCTACCCCTGAGCTAATCCCCCATACATGTTAATTCGGGGCTTTTCGGGAATCGAACCCGAGACCCCTCACACCCTAAGCGAGGATCATACCACTAGACCAAAAGCCCAAGAAATGGGGTGTTTCCGGAATCGAACCGGAGACCCCACGCACCCGAAGCGCGGATCATACCACTAGACCAAACACCCGAGTCGGATCGGTTATTACTCGATTTGGGGTTCGAACCCAAGACCTTGTGCGTGTGAAGCACACGTTATGACCAACTAAACTAATCGAGCAAGAATCAACCAACGCCGGGACTCGAACCCGGAATCTCATGATTCGTAGTCATGCGCCTTATCCATTGGGCCACGCTAGCGTAATACTGTGGTTTTACGGTCTGCGGGATTCGAACCCGCGCCCGAAGACTAGTGCCTTAAACTAGCGCCTTAGACCGCTCGGCCAAGACCGCACATGTATTTGCTGACAAATCTCCCTGACGGGGAATTGAACCCCGGTCTTCCGCGTGACAGGCGGAGATACTAACCACTATACGATCAGGGACGAAGTTATTGGGATACGGTCGGCGGGGTTCGAACCCGCGCTCTGTTACGAACTAGTACCTGAAACTAGCGCCTTAGACCGCTCGGCCACGACCGCAACTTTGTTGTAGCTGATATTCTCAGAGCCGGGAATCGGACCCGGGGACAGTCGATGGCAACGACTGATGTTACCACTACATCACTCTGAGAGAAAGAAAGAGTACTCGCGATGGGATTTGAACCCATGATCTCAACCGTGTCAAGGTCGCATCCTAACCGCTAGACGACGCAAGCTAATGTTTTCGACAGGTCGACAACGGCAGGACTCGAACCTGCGCATCTAACGATAAGAGATTACCTCTGAGTCAGTAGTTGACCATTCGAGTCACTCGCCTTAACCGCTCGGCCACGTTGCCATTGATCCGGAAATTTACTCCCTGCCGGGCTCGAACCGGCGACCTTGGGTTTATTAGACCCACGCTCTGACCAACTGAGCTAAGGGAGCTATTGCGGCACACTCCGTAGCTCGAGATTGTTTCGATCAATCGACCTCTGGGTTATGGGCCCAGCACGCTACCACTGCGCTATCGAGCTTTTCAGGTTTGATACCGTGTTGATTTTATCATCTTCTCATGTTGCCACCTACCCGGATCGAACGGGTGACCTACAGATCTTCAGTCTGGCGCTCTCCCAACTGAGCTAAGGCAGCTATTGACCGATTGTCAACAGCACATGCTGATAGGGAATTGATCGCTGAAATTGACCTGCTGATGAAATTACAATTAGGCCATGTATATTTAATGGGTTGTGATTGGGAAGGTCGAGACGCCAGCTCTTCTCATTCTTTTTGCGCCAAGTCCTTTTCAGCGGGTTTTCTCTCGACGTCTATGGAGCGACCACTTCCCCTCGCGGAAACAACACCCAACGCCGGGCCCAAAGGCGCCGGCCGCGTCTTCTGTATCACCACGGCGCGCCGGAAGGGCAACGCACTGCCCATGGAGGCTGGTCCAAGGAAGGCACCCACCATGACCCAAAGGGCGACCCGGCGCCTCAGGAACTACCCAAAGCACCGTTGACGGCCCACAGAGCACCCTTTATTTTTGTTTCGACTTCGAAGAAACGGCAAATTCCAGCCCGCTTTCACCGTCGTTGGAAGCTGCAGGGGGGCGTTTGTTGCATATCAAACTCTCTCTATTTTATAACCCGAAAGCAAATCCCGGAGGTGCACGAAAGCCCGGGCGAAGTAAGCCGAAAGAGAGAGACTTCGACTTTTTGGCTCGTCGGTGCGCGCTGGTGGACCTGCTTCTCAAAATCACGATCCTCGAATTGAGACAAACTGTTCGATGGAGTCGTCGCGCCTCGCCGCGAGCTTTCACGATCCATCATTTTTAGCTCCGCCCACTGGATCTGCGCTGATCTCAGTCGCGCCATCGGACAAGGTCGCGTCGCAGCTGCTATGCGAGTTCTGCGACATGTGATGTAGGGCGCCGCGCGCCACGCCGCCGACGCCGCAACGGACGCGCCGACAGCCCACGGGGAGCTCAACACGCGTCTTCGCGGTATCGCCCTGCGTCGGTATCGCCGTTCGATGGCGTCGATTTCACGTCAAAATACGGCCTTGCGTCGGTATCGTCGTTCGCCGGCGGAGTTTGGACGTCAAAATGCGGCTCTGCGTCGGACGCCGCTTCGGCTGAAATTGCTGCGGAAACACCTGAGTCTCTAGCTGGCCTTCCAGCTTTGGGCTACGATGGGCCACGATGTCAACTTACGCTGCGACGTCGTTATTAGGCCACGCGTGCATGGTCACGTCCCGGTTCGGCGCTGGTTCGGGCATTGGTCCGTTTTTGGTAGATGCGCCTGCGATTGCATGCGTCGCACACAGACCCGAAGACGGCCCCCTTTCGACGGTCCCGGAGACGAATTCGAGTTCAAGTTATGGACGGTCGACTCTGCCGCAGACTTCACATTCGGCAGTCGCCTAGCAACCTGATCGACTCGGCGCTGTACCACGACCGCAACGCGTACTTCCCGGGGAAGTTTCCCGTCGCCGACGACCATGTGACACTATTCACCCGGTTTTGGAGATTCGCACGGACTTCGTTTCGGTGGATGCATTAAACTGCAATAAACAGCGCACTTGACATCGACATCACTTCCTGTATCGTGCCCAACATTCGGCACCAGCTGCTCGCAGTGGCGCAGCTTGAGGAAAAGGGTGTATCTTTTCACTCTGGTTCTGATGCGCACCTGAGCATGCCGGCCGGCGAATGCGTTCCTCTGCTTCGCGTCGGACGGTCGTGCGTGCTCAAGGTTCAGCGCCGCGGACCGTCGCCGGCACTTGCTTCGAATCTGGGTCGGGTGGCACTCGCCCAGCCCATATCCCGGCTGCCGCTCGTTTTGTCTGCAGCCGCGAACATCTCGCTTGTCATTTCCAAGGCGCGGTGCTCCTTTCCCCCGCTTACGGCGCTGGGAGCGGAGTCAGGGGACGCGGCGACTGCCAACAGCACCGTTCGATTGCGTTCGGTTATGCCGTTTGCACAAGCCGGCGCACCGCTATTCATGCAGGAGCAGGGGCGGTGTATTCGGGTCGGGTCGGGTTTTCAATTTGTGCCGCACCCTCGGGTCGCGGGTCTGTCGAGCGACCAAACCCGTCTTCTCGGGTCGGGTTCGGGTTCGGGCCACGGCCAGACCCATGGAATCGACGGGTTAGCCAAAACGCGCAAACCCGGCAAACCCGGCCCGCGGGTTTCGGCAAGCCCGAACCCGCCGTTGCTCCTTTCTTTGGCTCCTCGAGACGACCCCTCGAGACAACCCCTGGAGACGACCCCTCGAGACGGCACTTGTACACGCCCATTCAAAACGGCACCTTGGGACGGCGCTTCGAGAAGGCCCCTCGAGACAGCCCTTGAAGACGGCCATTCAAAACGGATAGGGCCCCGCAGGGGCCGAGAGCCTACTACTATCTAAGCACTGTATGGCTCCCCCTTGGGCCACTCGGCAGGTCATGTCGCCGAAAAGAATCGCTAAAAATACGTCGAAAACAAATTCTAGCACGGTCCGAATTTCGAACTCTTACGTACCCTAACTCCCACATACCCTAACCCTCCGTGGTCCGCTGTTCGATAGGGACCTTGCAAGCTGAGATAAGTATCTGAGTTTGACCCCCTTCCAACAGTTCAAAGAGGCGTTTATTGCTCGATAAGGTAACTTTCACGAATCGCGCTAAGAGTAGCGTATTTGGACTTGCCGCTTCAGCGCGCGTCGAATGCGTAGGTGGCGTCTTGAATCTCAAAACGGTCATTTTTTTAAAAAGTTCAGGGTTGGAGCTCGAGTAAGGGTTAGGTAGGGTAAGGGTTACGTTTTTATTAAAAAAAAATCCTCGCCCTAACCCCAACCCTAAATTTACAAGTGCGCGCCGGAGGCACACGGAGGACCCGAAGGATACAGCCAAATCCCATTGCAATGCCCATGTAATTAATTAAAATTATTTAAACTAATCGCCGAATTTCGCGGCCAACCAGGTTTGAACCTGTGACCACCTTCTTCTTCTATGATGAATCCAATGATTCGCAATTTTAGCGATCGCATTAACCACCAGTCGCCGAATCGGCCGAGTTGCTGCCCTTTCCTCCCCAAATGCGGAACCTCACGGATTTTACCGTGGACAGACAGACGGACGGACAGACAGAAGGACGGACAGACGGACAGACAAAATTGCCCCTGGTAATCCTTCAAATCAAAGGACCCGAAGGGCCCTTGCCGCAAACTGACGTTGATTAAACGGCAAGGACCCTTCGGGTTGTCAATAAAAAATGACCGTTTTGAAATTTATGACGCCACCTAGCGCATTCGACGCGCGCTGAAGTGACGAGTCCGAAAACAATACTCTTGGCGTGACTCGTGAAAGTTGCCTTTTTTGGCGATAAACGCCCTTTTGAACATTTGGAACGGGGTCAAAATGACATATTTATCTCGGCTAATACGACCTCTTTAAAGCAGCGGAACCTGGCTCTCAGAGTTGGGGTACGTGGGAGTTAGGGTACGTGAGAGTTCTGGAAACGTGACGGTCCCGGAATTCGGACCTTTTTAGAATTCAATTCGACGTCATTTTCGGCGATTCTTTTCGGCGACCGCTTCCCCAGGAGGAACAAGAGGTACAGACCAACAAATCCTTGGGGTTAGCCCCTACGGGGGCCCTTACCTTAAGACGGCCCCTCGGAACGGTGCCTCGAAACGACCTCTCGAAACGGCCCCTTTCGATGGCCATTCAAAACGGCGCCTTAAGACGGCCCAGTCCAAATCAAATCAATGACGTTAACATTTTTTTAGGTCCGTCCTGGTTTTCTCGTGAGATTTAATTGGGTTTTTATTGTTTTTCAATCAAGTCCAAGTTATCGACCAAAAGGGCAATGTATTTTAGCGATATCCTATCAACCCTATCGACCGGAAAGTGTAGGGGGCCTAGCTCGAGGGAGGTTTTACGACGGTCACATGGGGGGAAGCTTACGCGACGCGTGTCGTGGACGAGCAGGGCGCGGACGGGGGGCGCCCCCCGTGTCATCGTCGAAAACCTCTCTCTAGCTCGGCCTCTTACACTTTCCGGTCGATAGGTTTTTGGCAAGATTTTCGCCCAAAAAATCGCCAAAAGCGGCTGATCTAATTTGGACTGGGCCCCTCGAGACGGTGCCTCCAGACGACTCCTCGAGACGGCGCCTCGAAATGGCGCCTCGAGAAGGCTATCTCCGGCCCCTCGAGAG